ATATTTGTTTTTTTTTTAATTTTTATCATAACTTTGCATACAAAATATTTATTATGAAGGAAGTACAGTAATTTTGTTTTGCAATGATTTTATAAGTGTAAAAGCAAAGCAGTGAAGAACAAGCACCATCTATGAAACCAGTATTATTTTCAACATTCCATAATAACTTAACCACCAACCAGTATTATTTATTATTAATATCCAAATAATTGTATTAGTCAATCAGACAAGCATGTACAAAGTAATTAAATATCTAGTCCAAAACTGTTGTATATGATTAACAATTTAAAAGAACAAAACATAGTTGATTTAATTTACAATAGAATCCACCAATTTTAAATTCACCAAAAAATTTAAAGTATTAAAATATTAAGTACAACAGTTTTACACCAGAAAACCCAGGTCCAGTAATACTATACGAGAATGAAAATTAGGCAGCTTTTGGGTATTTACATCCAGGTACCAATATGTGTCTTATTTTAAAATATCCTCCACCACAATCTTATTTACAAACTAACACAATGCAATAAATTATGCTTTTATGATATTCATGGTTAGTACAAAATACATTCACAATATTATTGATAACATAATATTAATTAGCCAATCAGTATAGAAATGGTTCCCATTCATATTATAATACACATTAGATAATTTTTAAATGTGATTTATTCACTGATAGTTAAGTTGAAACTTTGAAAATATATTAAGTACATAGTATTTACAATTAATTTTATAAGTTATTGTTTATTCTTGAATAGTTTTTATGAATACATCACAAAATAAAAATAAAAACAAGTAGAAACTTACATTTATAGAAAAATGCTGGTTTAAAACACTCGTTTTTTTAAAATATGTAGTTCTATAATATATTTTACAATTTATAAGTATTTGATAATTAAATTATAGGGCAATAGGCAGACAGAAAATACATTTATTATGCCTATTAGTGTATAAAATTATTTCTTATCATATGTATAAGTATACATATTGAAACTGTAATCTATAAATCAGGGCTTAAAACCAGTTTATACCAAGCCAGATGAAGTATTGGTTTTTTTTTGTCTTCTAACACTTACCATGACCAAAATCACAAAATTTAAAATGCCGTTTAAAACATACTAAAGAATTAAAATGTAAAACCGAAAATGAATAATTTAAAAAAAAAGTTGACCAAAAACCTACACCAAAATTTACATGGTTTTCAAACAGTGTTAATACTTTCATAATAGCATTGGTAATTGCCCAATATAAACTGGTTTCTAGCTCTTGGTTTTGGACAGTTATGGTGTCAGAAGATTAAGGTATTATCCAGATAGTTATAAGCAGATTTCCAATAACTAGTTTTAAGCACTGTTATAAATCTATAGGATTATATAAATTATAACTTTCAATAAGGAAAAACAAATTAAAACAATTGAAACAACTTGAAAAAGAATACTAGATCAAATCTAATACAAAAATAATATTGGAAATTTTTTGATACTGACTTTTTTCAACTAGTAAGGATAAAACAAAATATATTAGTTAAGTCGTTTTTATGAAAACATACACGACAAGTATTAAATATCAAGAAAATTCAAAAAATGTTAAATCAGAACGATTCAATAAACACACAAGATCATAATAACACGTTTAGAGAATCTACCTAAAATAGTAGTTCCCAACCTTTTCTGGTTCAAATTTTGATTCTGATTTTTTCAATAATTTTGAACCCCAGATTAACAATCGAGCAGAATACCTAAATAATAGTATATTTATAATCCCACAGATTACATGATTGCATTGGATAGAATATCAAAGCATATAGCAATTAAAACCAATACTACATATGAAAATATCGTAAAACCGTACCCTAGTTTGAGGGCTTGACCGCCGGCGCGAAGTCCTTCTTCGCCTAGCAACGTCACTTGCTCGTCCTCCCGATTTGGGTCAGCCATCTGCGAAGCAACCGCGGTACCCATTTGCTGTTCAGTCTGGCAACACATACACACACGCGCGCGCATAGGGACGACATACGGACATACACCACCCCACCAGACAAATATTTTTGTTATAGTATAATATGATGAAAATGATTGTAAGAAAAAGCAAGCATCAAAAAATATTATACATTACATAATTATATTTTTGAATAAATAATATAACTATTGTCTTTATAAAAATGTAATAAATCAGTTTAAAAATATATGAAATTAAGCTGAATCAATGATATAGAATTGTTGAGTATAATACAATTTTTAATGCTTACCAGTAATAAAAGTTAAGCAAAATAAAATAAAAAGCTTAACTAAATAATAATAAAAAATGATCAATAAAATGATAAAATAACTAAAGCAGAAACTTTGTATTTCAAGTTTCACTTTTTACAATAATGTAAACAAATGCTATAAAACTGATGATTGAAAATAAATATAATTTGTTTAATGGTTTTGAAAAATAATTTGAAAGTTTATAAATATTTTGAAAAGCTCAAAATAGATTCTTATTAATAAAATATATTTATTTTTGCAATGACTAAACAATATACTTGAATTATTTAAGTCTAATTTGTATAATTAACTTATAATACCCACGCCAAAAAATGCATGCTTTAAATGACAATTATCTTGCCATGTTGACACAATATTTTTTTATGATTAATTAATTCATGATATGTCATGTATTGCTACAACATGCATGTAGGTATAAGATTGGACAAATAAAAAATGTTTTTCATGAAGATTCAATTTAAAATTAAAAATCAAATAACATAAAAATAATGAAGTTTTTTAAACATGATAATATAATCCCTATCATCATTGATATAAAAATAAACAGTATCATTAATAGTTAGGCATATGAAATACAAAAATAATGATCTATACCGTACTTAAAACAATTAATAAAATATATATATATATATTTTTTTTTTATATACTAGTCAACATCGCCAAACAAAAGTTTAATATATTTACAATACTCAGGCAACACACCAATATTTTGTTTTGTTTTATAATAGGTAATTCTTCTCCACCACAGAATAACATTTATTCTATTATTTTACCTCCACCATCTTTTAGTCTTTTATCATTTTACAATAAATAAAATGAATACAAAAATAAATATTGAACAATAAATTATTTCATTGGTGATATAGTTAAGAGAGAAAATGAGTGCAGTTATGTTAACTGAACAGAAGATGCAAACATGCAAATGATAAGCAGTATGATATAGTTTATACTATACCTAATATAAATACAATTTAAAATATAAAACTGTTTAATAACAAATTTAAGAAGATTGATAAATGTATGCTCTAGTATAAATTAAATAATGCACTGGAAGAATGAATGTTGGGTAAATATTTTTAATTAAGTAAATACAATGAATAATATTTTTAGTTAAACAATTTCAGTCACAAGGGAGTCACTACTAAATTTGTTATAAGTATAATTTAATTTAAACACATTTATAATTTTATAAGTTAAATACCTAATAAAAAAATATAATACATAAGCTACATGGAATATTTTACAAATTCTACGTTTGTGCAATCAGCAAATAAAGCTCAACTTGATAATAATTTCAAGCAATTAAAAAGAACAAATAAATACTAATCAAATCACAAGAATAAATAAAATGCAGTGAAGTAAGAAAATGATAGAAACCCAAATGAAAACTTTAAGATCCAACTATGGTGAGGTGGTTCCTGTTTAAATTGTTGTTGCCAGATACTGAAACTTTTGAGATCGTTATAATATAATAGTATATTATCTTTTATAAAATCTCTAGACAACTAGGTACCATTCAATTCGTGGAAATATATTTTTTTTTGGCAATAGGCATAAATGCTTATTTAACCAATCTAACAGTTTTATTAATTTTATTTAAGTATTGATAATAATTTATTACACAGTAGAAACCTACTTAGATAACTTCAATTATTTATTTTAAAGATAGTAAGTTAAAAAAAAATTACCTCATCAAAGAATACTTGAGTTTTTCGTAAAATATGTTTGAGTTCTGTTAACTCAAGAAAATTACGTTTCAAGGCTTCGGCGTTATGGTTTACTTCTCTCAACTCATTTTCTAATTTTTCAAAAGTAGCCTAAAATAAATGTATGAACAAATTAACCTTTAAGTAGGTACTAAAAAAATACTTAGATTAATACAATGAAGGTATTTAAATTGTGAATTTTGATTTTAATGAAAATGAATTTATATATATATTTATTTAATGAATTGATGGATTACTTCAAGGTCAATCATTTCACGGGGCTGAGGAGCCTCGGGATTTTCACCAGTATCCAACATAGGTATTCCATCCTTTTTAATCTCCTTTTCCAAGTAGCGTAGTTTCCGTTCCATTTCATCGCAGCGGCGCACTTCGCTTACGAACTTCCGTTGAAAAGCGTTGACATCAGGATTCAACTGACCATCGAGAAAGAAGCAAGCGAGGAGGGAACAAAAAATACGATTAACAAAAACACAAAACAAAAAAAAAACACAGTTTCTATATTATGACATTATGTACTTACGTCGCGAAACTGAACCAGTCCCAATTCACCGAGTTCGGATACGCAGGCATACGCGGCTTCACTCTGCAAGAACAACTGGCACAGGGCCATTTCCTCGCTGCGGAACAGCGATCCCATGGCTGCAATTTGGGGGTCCGCGTTCTCCAATGGAAATATGACTTGGCAGCCCCGCGGTCGTCTCAAATATCAGTGACGGTGACGAAAAAATAACGATACTCGTCACTATGCGAGAAACTTACAGTGACGGATGTATTCAATGGACGCCCACCGAGTTCGACGTTTCTATAATCTATACTCCACACGGGTGTGGCAGGCAGAGACACTTCTGCCGTAAGGACGTTGTCGAGTGTCGACGGGGATGGGCGATGCGATACGGACTAGGTCAGTATAACATTATCTCGAACATTACAACAAGTAGCCACAAACAACAGTTTATTATTGTGACGCTGAAAATGCTACACTGATATTCTCTGGTGACTTACTGATATCAAATTTCGCCAGTTTTGATAACGAAATTTTGATATTCATTAGAATACTTACATATAAAATAATAAATAAATATAAAACGTAGTGTCAAAAAAGTAGGTATAATAACAACAAAACACCGAGTCTTGACTACCAAATAGTGAATACCGTGTTATTCCACAATGTCTGAATATGAATCATTCGGCGGAGGACGTTTAAAATTGAAAAATGATTCTGGAATAAAAAAGTAAGTAAACTTGAAGTATAATAGGTACATGTAACGAGGACGGTTCAGAAAGTAACTTCTGTTTATTTTTTCTTACACCTATTACTGATAGGATTCTTATAACTTATAAATATAATATAATTACATATATTTTTCGATGCAGTCACCAAATCGTTTGATACATTTTTGATACATATCAAGAAGACAGTTTTTGTATCCCCGACTTTTTTTTTATTGACAATGAAAACTGAATAAGTAAATTTGTAATACAAAAAAAAAGTAACTGCTCAGCTGTAGAGCAATTGTTGAATAAGTTAAATTAATGTGTTAAATTTGAATTCAATGATGAATCATTGTTTACGATAATAACAATTCTGGGCAAAGACAGTCAAACTTTTTGATAACTAAGGTTTTCAAATAATTATTTTCTAAAGTAGTATTAAAATTTATAAAATTTCTACTTTTGACCCACAAAAATACAATTTACAATTTTCTATTAGAAACTTCCCTTGAGGTGAATGATAGAAGAATTTTTTCTTACTAGAAAGTGTCTTCAAGCATACATTTTAAAATTTAAAAAAAAAACATTGTAAAATCAATACATTCTTTCCTAAGATCATGATCTACTAATTTTTTATTTGATATATTTTTAATGGTGAATTTAGTTTTAGGAGAAAAATGAATAACAAATTCTATACATGTTGTAGAAAAAACCTAAAACCTCAGTAATTTTATAAAAACAAATCAACATTTCTTTCCAAATCACCCTAGTATAAGTGGGTAACTTATTTACCTTAACACTCGTACATATGATATTTTATTAAGATTTATGTGCTTGGTAAAGTACCTATCAGAAAATCATCAAAAATATCATCATGGTACATCAAAGGATGTAGTGCCAGTGGCGGCTCTAGAGTTTGATCCTGGGGAGGGGGGCCTTAACATCACACACGTTTTAAAAAAATATTTTATGATGTATTTATTCAAATGCTTTAAAATTAGTGCCACATATTACCACATTAGACATTAATACAAAATATTATACATTTACAAAATAGTACATAAGTCAATAAGATAAAATATTACAAAAAAAGACGACTACAAATTACATTTTATAATAGAAAATCTAATTTTTATTTTTTTTCAAATCGATCCATTACTCGATCTATATCTATAGATGTGTCAATGAATGTGCAATGTGCATGAGAGCAAAACCATTGAGCCTATGGTCGACCATTCGTATATGTTTTTCTTTATCCTAGGTATATAACATTATCAGCATTCGTTGAAAGTTGGAAAAAATGTTGATAATTTAAAAATAATTTTAGATTCAATATAATACAATACACCCTATCAACTCCCTCTCTCCTCTAAATGGGTATTGGATAGTAGATTAGTGGATATTATAATTAAGGTGGTAACTAAAATATAAAATTTAATTTTCAATTTTTATAGAATTGCTGAAAATTTGAAAACTGGCAGCGGGCCCCTTAATAAGTCCCTTCAAGTTATAATATAGTAAATACTTATTATAATAAAATAAAGAGTTTAGAGTCAAAAAATTAATCAAAGAATTGAATATGTTGAATAATACGTACCATTACAATGCAAGCCTCAAGGTAAAATATTAAAGTACCTTATGGTAACTGTCGGTCATCTTCTCACAAACCGTCGTTATAAAATGAAGCTACAAGTATTAAAACGATATTACTCTGAACGTCTGAACAAAACAGTTGTCAAAATATTAACGATAAGAAATCAACCAAATTAGAATTATAAATAGAGAACCTTAGAGTCCCTATCGGATATATGTACGTACCTTCTACGAATTGGCGTACTTGTGCACAACTCGAAAATATAAGATAACGACTAACGAGATTTTACAATTACACAATATCTAGTATACTAATATTATATAATATTATAAACCGTAATAATATTATATTAAATTTGACTGTTTTTTTTTTTGGATTTTGGGGTCACCACTGGATGTACATAATATTATGTATTATATACTACTAATTTATTGTGTATGTGTGTTATAAATTATAATGTTATCAGGTACTTATTACTAATATTATTTAATATTAATACACCCATTATGTACTGTAGTACTGTACCAATTTATAAAGACTACTAATTAATTTAATATGATGCGTTATGGCAGCTAAAAAAATCCATGGTAAAATATGACAGGGTATTAAATTTTACACTTAAAACAATTTGATTTACTTTATGTATTCTGTAAATAGATAATTAAAATTTTTACAGGAAAAAGAAGAAGAGTAAAAATAAAGAGAAAACCATAGAAAAAATGAATAAAGGATTAGAACAGGAAAAAGTAACCAAGGAGTACCATGTACCTCCTACTAAGGCTGAATTGGCCTTCATGAAACAACAGGAAAAATTGGTAAAGTATTTTTCATTCTTAAATTTATTATTGTCTTATGACGAAGCAAATAGCACTTACCTAATGTATTTCATATTGGTTGATTGATTTTAGCAAAAAGAAAAAATTCTGAAAATCGCATCAACAACACACAAACAAAGGGTCGAAGAATTTAATCGTCATTTAGACAACCTAACTGAACATTTTGACATACCTAAAGTTAGTTGGACGAAATAGAGATATTATATACTCTTATATAATTATTTTTGTACATTGTAAAAAATTTAAATATTGATCTGTATTTAATTTATATCCAAACATTTAAAATATATACTATTCTATACTATACAAAATACAATATGTATTAGCATTTTACATTAAACATTTTTTTTAATTTATGTATATGAGTATTGCAATGTAACTCATACCTATTTATTTTGATAATGCTTCTTATATTAGTAATTTCTAACCAAAGACAATGAGTCCAACATTTTCACTAGACCAAAATATAGTTATGCCAGTTATTGTAATATTATAATCACCAGATGAAATACCAGGTTGGGTGGTCCTGAAGTAATACTGCTCCGCAGTTTTGGTTGTATTTTATACAAATGTAAAGAACTATTTAGTATATAAAGAAGAAAATGTGACTGATACAAAAATGTCCTCTAAATTATAGGATTCTGTGTAAATAATAGAGGCTTATAAATAACACTTAACACTTAATACCATTATTTAGTACACCACCACCGCCATCACACGAGGAGATACAGATACAGTTACATGATAACAGCATTTCCATAGTCTAAAAACTTAGTAGCTGCTGGACCAAGTGTAAATTTGAGGATATCAGGAGAAAGCCAAGTTTATATTAATATAATGATTTTATTTTAGCCAAAAATGGGTAGGTATGCTGTGATTAAGTCTAGTTAAGTTCTGAGTAAAAAACACAGTCTAGTTTAGGGGTTAAATTAGAAGGTGAATTTAATGAAAAAGAGTTGTAAGGAGCTTAGGAGCTTACAAAGTAAAAAAAAGGGCGAGCCCGAAGACATTATATGATTAAAAATATTTCTGATTATTTATAGAAGATTATCTTAATTACTTACCTTATAACTGTGTAATGCAGCCGAGATAACAGCAGAGTGGAAAGAATTTATTAGCTCCTAAAAATAAAAAAAGATGCAACTAAAACTACAGCTGAATAGTAGGCAAGAGAAGGGCGTGTGAACTGTGAGAGAACCTACCTATGGCCCTCAGGCGTCCTTGGCATGATTATTGTAAGAATGCGACACCAGTGATTTGTGGAAAATATATTTCTTACCTTTGTTAAAGTAGAGCTGAAATCATGACAAAAATAAAGCTAAACAGCTATTAACACGAGATTGATCAGACTGTGCGAGGTAGGCTCACGTGAAAGTTGAGAAGTGGCTACTAAATATTATTATGCAAATATGAATACTTCAAAACTTAATAACAATTATATACCTAATAGAAAATCAGTCATTGTCCGAGACCATCGGGATGAACGAAATATGTCGACCCGGGTTTGAATCATGGACGTCAAATCCTAATTTCACCAAACAGACAATGTGTGGGAGTTAAGAACCATTTAAAAATGCCTAAGTTAACTGCACTGATAACTGTTTTTGTAAAAGAAGTCACTGCCATCAGGGCAATCTAGAACTTCATAATAGTTAGAAGAAAGTTTGATGACAGGGTCAGGAAAAACGGGTGATTGAGACCAGTAGGCAATAGAAATGCCCTTTTATTGAGAACGTTGAACTGAAATTCAACAAGGCAATGGCTGAATCCAGGAGACTATTTTAATGGTAAATTCTGTTAGATCACCAACAATCAACATGAATTATGATAGATGGCTCTTAAGATCACCTGCACGTTTGTATGGATACGGTGTTCTCTTTTAGTAGATACAATGTTCCGAATTTCTGGTAGAAAATTGGATCTAGTTGGTACTTGTTGGTGACTAGTGAGTAAAAATGTACTCATTTCTCAGCAAGTACTTTTTAAAATAATTTTTGTTAGCTCTTCTACATTTCAATTGGTATGCAAATTGCAAGTTATGAGTACGCAAAATACAAAAGTATTGAAATTTAAAAATTCTCATACATTGCTGAACAACTGTAATATATGACACCATCCCACCATGTGAGCACATCCCTACTAAAATACCTAAGTGACACCGCTTCTTGCATAACTATATATTATATTATATTCAATAAAATTATAAGGTCTATGATTGAACCACAGATTAAATGAATGTTTCATTTAATCTGTGATTGAACATTGTTCCGTAGTTTAGTGCTCAGACAATTAATAAACTTTTCAGTTTTTCCGTCGATTGCCCATAAGCCTTATCGCAGCCACCACGTTATCAATTATCATTAATATTATTATTATTATTGTCGTCGTTGTCTTTGATAACCGAAATCGGAACAAGACCAACACCGAATTAGGATGTAATATTAAATAATAATTAATAACAATAATCCACAACATTGTAACTGAAGGAAGAAAAATGTTTTCGTTCCCACGTCCCTCAACATAGTGACAACGAAATTGACGTTGGCAGGACCGCTGTGACCCTTTTTCCGTGAAACGACCTCCGCCTACACTAGAACCCACTACTTTCCGTGGATACATAAAAGCCGGAAATGGGCAACGCTGACACCAAACTGGTGTTCCGAAAAGCCGTTGTCCAGCTGACTTCCAAGACCCAGGTAAGTGCGAACCGTGATGTGGGTAGGTGTCTGTTTTAACTATGCTTTTATGTTCACACACAGACCATCAGCGCTGAGGACAACGATTTCTGGGATCAGTTCTGGTCAGAGACCGTCACTAACGTACAGGACGTGTTTACTCTTGTACCAGCTACCGAGATTCGGCTACTCAGGGAGGATGTACCAGCTAACTTGGCCACATTGTGCTACAAAGCGGTCGAGAAGTTTGTTAGGGCTGTGGAGAACAGCTGTCGCACACAACAGGATCAAAATACAGGTAAATACTTATTTATATTACCCGGATTTGATTGTAATATTGTTGTTTATTTACTTTATTATTTTATTTTTTCATTTATATTTACTAGTCTTGAACTGCTCACGACTGCTGACCAGAGTGCTCCCATATGTCTTTGAAGAACCAGATTGGGAAAACATATTCTGGTCCAGCTTGCCGGCTGGCAAAGGCGATCCACCCATACCATTGGCACATTCACTGTGTAGTGCTATATGTGTATGTAATCCAACAGTAGGATTTTCAGTCTCTTAAGATATTTATAGATTTTGTTTTTCAGGATTTATTGTTTTGCCCAGATTTCACAGTCGCATCCAATCGTAAAAATGGTCCTGTAAGTTTCAGTTGCTTATTTAAATTGGAAAAACTGTTTCATAATAATTAAAACATTTTTTAGCTGTCTCTAAACCAGTCATATTATGTTTAGTATTTAATTTCAAAGTAAACATAAATCATAAAATCATGCACTTATTTTTTTTGTACACTAAGTTTAATAAAATCTTAAATTTAAAATGTATACTTAAAAAAATAATTAAGCTTATTAATGTACAGTTTTGATTGTAATAATTACACGACATATTCTTCTAGGATAAAGCAGAAGATTTGCATGCTGTAGATAGCTGTGAATACATTTGGGAAAAAGGAGTGGGTTTTGCCCAATCTCCTGTTAAAAATGCGACTTTTGAATCGAATCGTACTGAACTACTGCGTTTACTGTTGACGTGTTTCAGTCAAGCTATTTATTCACCAAATCAAAGTAAAGTATCTTATTAAGATGCCACACCCAGATTTGTTGTCTCCATCTTACAAGTGTGTAACATACCAATTTACGAACAGCAGTTCATGTTTCATGCTGTTAGCTTAAAAATTAGAATGAATCGACCTATCATGAAACTTGATTGTAAGAACTTTGTCTGTTTTTTATTGGAAGTTTTTTTTTACGATAATTCAGTTTTTAAGTGAGGTATGTGTGTATAACAAATGTAAATTAAAAATGCTCATAACTTACTTAAAAACTGAATTATTGTAAAATGACTTCCAACATAATACAGATAAAGTTCTTATAATAGGTCGATTCACTCTTATTTTCAAGCCAATGGCATAAAATGTGAACTGCTAAGCTTAAATATGTTTATGTTATAATGTTATAAATGTTTTATCAACAAAACATATTGTCAACATTTTTACCTTTAAGTTTGAATAGCTTGCTAATAGGTCAATCACTCTAATATTAAAATACACTTTGGTACAGCTGCACATTAGCTCGCGGACTGTAAATTTCCTACATTATGCACTTGTAAGACAATTATAGTGTTCTCTTAAGAGTTTGTTTGTTTTACATCTTAAAATACTCTTAATTTACTTTAAAATTGAAATATAATAAGAACCCTATGAGATTTTCTAGATTATTTTATCTTTAAATTCTATAAGAAGTCAATTCATTCTCATTTTTTAACTAATAGAGCTAAACGTCATCTGCTTAGTGTAAAATTGTCTGTGTTGCGCACTTGTAAGACAGAGACAACACATCCTGGTGCCATGTCCTCTTAATAAATATTATCTAGTATTTTAATTTAAGTTCTCGTTTTTAATGCAAATATATACATATTAGATGGTAATAGATGGGTACAGTATGTAACTTCAGCTGAAAATCGCCATGCATTACCTATGCTTACATCTCTTTTAAATACTGTGTGCGGTTACGATCCTATTGGCATGGGTGTTCCGTACAATCATCTTCTATTCGCTGACACATCTGAACCGTTAGTTGATATGTGTCTACAAATCATTATTGTGGCTCTGGATTCTGATGTGCAACAGGTATATATTAATAAATTATGCATTGTATTTAATATATCTATTATACTGTATTACTGTATGTGTTGTAGAATGATGAAGCAGCCATAGACAATTTGTTTATAAATTATTTATCAAGAGTTCATCGAGATGAAGACTTTTCTTTTATTTTGAGTGGATTTACAAGGTTGTTAATGAACCCCTTACGACAGACTTATCTTCCACATTCCACCAAAAAAGTGCAATTTCATCAAGAGCTGTTGATATTCTTTTGGAAAATATGCGAATTTAATAAAGTAAATGTTCAAACTATCTTGATTTATAGTGAAGTGGTTAAAATGTATTAATTGTTTATTAATTTGATACAGAAATTTCTATATTTTGTACTCAAAAGTAGTGATGTCCTTGATGTTTTAGTACCAATTTTGTATCATTTAAATGATTCCAGAGCAGATCAATGTAAGTGGACTACAAAAATATAAAATTGCTCAATGTTTTAGATTCAATTAAACATTTTAGTGATTTTATTTTTCAGCTCGAATTGGTCTTATGCATATTGGAGTATTTATTTTGTTATTACTGAGTGGTGAGAGGAATTTTGGAGTACGTCTCAACAAACCATACACTACAACAATACCCATGGACATACCAGTGTTCAGTGGTACACACGCAGATCTTCTAATTATTGTGTTTCATAAAATTATCACAACTGGTCATAATAGAATGCAACCGCTCTTTGACTGTCTCCTAACGATCTTAGTGAATGGTCCGTAATTAATAATTATAGTGTTATAATAATATTTGAGAACAAAAAAATATGCACTGAAATGTTCTTAAATATTACATAACATAAGGAATAAAGTTATGATCTTATAAATAACTATTTACCAAAATTATGATGGGATAGCTTTAGATTTTTCCAATAATTTGTGTAATGTTTTGGATTACAGTGTCTCCGTACTTAAAAACTCTGTCGATGGTGTCGAGTACAAAACTTTTGCATTTGGTGGATGCATTTACAACTCCGTGGTTTTTGTTTTCTTCACCATCTGCCAACCATCTTGCTTTTTTCTTGTTGGAGATTTTCAATAATATCATACAATATCAATTTGATGGTTAGTACTTAGTACCTCACATAAGGTCTTTATGTTAATCTTGTTTCTTTTCATTAGGTAATTCAAATTTAGTGTATACAATTATACGCAAGAGACAAGTTTTTCATAGTTTAGCAAACTTGCCAACTGATTACAGTGCTATTATCAAATCCCTGACTAAAAAAGCAAAGCGAAATATGCAAGCCACTAGCTCTGTTAGTCTAACAGCTGCTACTGAAACTCCAAGTATGGAAGGATCTACACCTGCATTGCCCGCAGAGCCAGGAACTCTTAATGCCACACTTCCCGACACTCCTGGTAAGAAGACTATTAACAATCAACTAACCATGTAACCATTTCATAACTAGAGTCTGGACTTTTAACTGTTGAAAAGCTCAAGCTTTAAAATTATGCATCCTAAAACATAATATTATACAGGGTTTAACAGAAAGAACTAATTAATGCTGTAACTTTTGTTATAGCCAGTATTTTGATTTTTCTTTTTATATATAATTTATAGTCACTTGCGTTAGATGTATAATATAAACAAAATTGTTTTTATTTTTTAATACTGAATATAAAAAATTAAAAATTAAACTAAATTTTATTGGATGAGTTCAAAATAGCCAATTTGTGAATCTGATTAAAAGAACAATTTTGGTGGTAAATAAATGTATCGAAGTTAAGTAGTTTATTTTTTAGAATTTTTTTAAATATCAATATTTTTTTGATTAAATTCATTTAGAACGTAATAACTTTTTTCAAAATATAGTTTTAGCAAATTCGCTGACATGAGTACATTTTTTAAATTATTTACTACTCATAGAATGTTGAAAAATGTTTGTTCTACGTTAAGGTAGCATCATTTTTTTTTTTTTGTCAGGTCTATCTGTTACACCTTGTATACCAAACTTAATATGCTCCTAAAACTTTTAAAATATGGAATTAATTTATAGTATTTGATTTAATTGGTGATTAGTGATTACTTGTGATGTAATAATTGGTAATCTTGCTTTATAATATGCGGAATAACTTATTTTTATGCATTCTAAGTTGAAAACAAATTCGATCACAATTTGTGCCTCTATACGAAGCCGGACTCTAATTATTTTCTTTAAGTGCTACTAAATTATAACATGCATTATTCCTGCCTTTGCTAACCTGGTGTAATGTAATGAATGTCAGGCGTAATGAAAATAACAGAACGTGAAAGTGCTCATCCGGGAAATGTAACCTTACCCGCTGAACTGGTTACGTCTAATGGCATGACAAAGGAAATTGTGAAACAATCTTCTAACCAAGGAGATTGCTCTCCAACAACATCGTCGCCTAAGGTTTTATAAGTTTTTGACAAATATAAATCTTTATATTATATTAATAGATTTAAGGCCTAAAATATTGATAGAAAAGTTTGTTCTTGCATGATATTTTGCTGCTTGATGAAATGATGTAAATCATTGAATAATAATGAACTAATATTCTTGTGTTTAGTGCATTAGACTTATAGGTAGTTTTTATCAGATATTTTTTATAAATATTTAATGAAATGCAGATGTAATAAAGTATTTTTATAAATGGTAATATTAAGTGATGCTATTTTCCATGGTATATTTTTCTTTACTTGATGGCCATTAATAATTTTAAATTATGAAAATTAAAAACCATTAGAACTATTGTATACTTATGTGTTCACATGTTGTATGTATGTATTGAAACATTTTACTGTGTGTATACACATGTCTAGAATGACGCTGAATGGGCACCAACCACAGAATGGGTCCGATCTTGGAAGGAAAAGCTGCCATTGCAAACAATTATGAGATTACTGCAAGTGCTAGTGCCTCAAGTTGAAAAAATTTGCATAGACAAGTATAATGTTTTATTTATTATCTATTGTTTTTATAATCTATTTACATTTATTTCTTGTGACAAATTTAAATGTCTTGTTAGTCGCTGTGGAAATGAATTATTATATTTTAAATGTTATTGTTAATACTGAACATATTATACATGTTGTTTGTAGAGGTTTGACGGATGAAAGTGAAATACTAAAGTTCTTACAACATGGTACGTTAGTAGGACTGTTACCAGTCCCTCATCCAATACTCATACGGAAGTATCAGTCTAATCCAGGAACAACTGCTTGGTTTCGAACTTATATGTGGGCTGTTATATTTCTCAGGTATTGATGATCACAAAAAAGATTTAAAAAATATTAATTATCAATTAAATTTCAGATTCAATATGAATAAGTATATTTAAAATGCATATGGTTTTTTTTTTAGAAACATCGATCCTCCCATCTGGTATGATACTGATGTGAAACTCTTTGAAATACAACGCATGTAGGATTCTTATAATGTCTATTTGTTTGTTTTGATTTTGGAGAAGACAATTTTATTGAGAACAATTCTTTAATGCATTGTGCATTTTAAGTTTTTTAATGTGTGAACATTTTTCCTTTTTGGATTTTATTGAGTTCTTTGGTATTATTGAATGTAAGCATCTTAAAGTGATCTGCGTCCACTGAGAAAATACATTTTAAGTGACCCTAATTTGTAAATCTGAACAATGAAAGATTTACTAATATATTAATATCCTCCATGAATTAATATTTTTCTAACATAAGTTAGGAAAAAACCAATAGAAACTTCATCTCAAAAATAACAATAAAATATATATTATTCATAAATGTATTATACAGTCTTATTATAAAAAAAAAGTCATCACTGTTGGGTGATTTTATTTCACATAAGAAACCCAATCACATAACTATATATAAACTTTTTTTAAATAGCTTAAAAAGTATAATTTGTTATATAATTAAGACCTTGATGAATGGTATTTCTGTGAAAACTGATGCAATGTAAAACTATATTCATGTTTAATATTTTGTACATAGTATCACATTACATATTCAGTACAAATTAATGATTTTTGGGAACAGACATAATATCACTTTAAGATGCATTTTTGTACCATGAATTTAAATTATGATTTGTTATATTTAAATATTTATGTTTATTAAATGTATGCAAAAAGGCTATTTTGAGATTAACAGTATTTTATTAACTTATTTCTGATAAAATATAATATATTTATACATATATATGAATAACTGATAGTGTATATTTTATTGCAATTTCTAACGCCCAAGTTGAAATTTAGTATCCACCACGATAGTATGTCAAAAAACCAAATATGTAATATGTATACAAAAACCCTAGTACTGACTTACTTAGTAATAATTAGTATAGTATTTATAATCTATGGCTTAGGAAACTATTTCAGTGTTAGATGGGTTTTTAAAAAAGCACCAAATATTAAATGACAAAATACAGTTTTCTTATGTGTCATATCTGATTTTATTGTATTATATGATTGATCAATTATAGGTATAACAATGGAACGCATAGATTGGGAAAATAAATGAATAAATAAACGTTCTTTCAAAATTTGAACCATAAAATATTATAATAATTGTTCATTTTATAAAATATCATTACAAATTATAATAATAACAAGGGGAGGGATAAACAAAATTTGGATTAAAAGTATATATTTTATAATAATATATTAACAATCGAATAATGATTGGTACACAATTATTTTTGTTTAAATTATTAAAAAAATTTTTGGTTTCGTAACACGATAATATTTGTGCGGTCCTTTTGTTTAGAAAAAAATGTATATAATATTATGTTGTGCGCTATTATTATTATCATAATCATACTGTACATAAATAAATATGATATCGTCATTTTGTACTCGCTAACAGAATAAATAAATTAACTAGACACGATTGTACAGAAATGTTTAATAGTAATATATATATTATATAATGATAATAATAATTGTATCATAAAAACAAACAAAAATCTAAGTGTGATGTTTCTTGTTCGGGAGCTTCCGTATAAAAGAAAAAAAAATAATAAAACTTAAAATTATAATATTGTATTATTATATAATAATATAAGTAATAAAATGAACTAAAAAAAAACATACAAACAAATTGAGAGAGCTCTTTATAAGTGTATATATATTATATTTGTTTGTTGGTTGGGGTTGGTGAACATTCAGATTGGTTTTTCCTATTAATTAAAACAATATACATATATATATACACACGTTTTGACCACAAACAAGTGCGCAACAATTATTCGAAGTATTGCGAGTCAGTTAAAACAAACGTGGTCTATGGTGGTATTTTGGCAACAAACGTAATCAAAAGCCAGCGGCGACCTTTAAATTTTATTCATACAAAACAAAAACGGAAAAATAAAATCAAAAGAGAAAGCCGACCTACCGCCCGTCGCTCTGTTCGAGGGCCTTTCGTTGATGTTGTTATTATTCCAAATTATTATTACTGCCGAGATTCTTTTTATTTCTACCAACTCACGAATGTCCATCAATTGAGATTCAAACGATTTTACGTTAAATAATAATAATAACGAATAAAATATATATTATATATAGTATATCATACAAACGTAGGCATTCTAAATCTAAGGTAATTTTTTTTTTGTTTTTTTTTTTTTTGTCATGATATTTTGTTCATATAGTCATAACTTATCAATATATTTAAACAATACATATTTGAAAACTGAGTAGAGGAGCAAGTGAATCGGAGAACGAATAATAATCATATAGGTAATAACAATCAAAATAATAATATAAATAAATAAATGGTGTACAAAAGATTCGGATGCATACAATTCGGGGAGGTTTCAAAGTCCTAAATCGTTAATATACATAAATACCTATAATAATTTAACTATTAAAAAAAAAAATGTTTAGCGGGTCATGGGAGAAGAGTAAATTATGTGTGGGTCGGGTTGGTCGGCTTTTATTATACTTTTTACGCAATATTGAAGACGACACAATGACGTAAGCCAACGAAGACGACAATAGTTAATTAATTATGTAATAAGTATAATATGTGTGTGCGTATTTAATGATTTTTTTCAAAAAAATATTACTGAAATTGTGACCAAGTCTCTTACTCGGTGTTAGAGAGGAGGATGTTAAAATAATCTAGATGGATCTCGTCATCGTGTCGTCAAATATAATATAATATGTATATCAATGGATCTAATAGTATAATATATTTATATTTATATTATTTTATATGGCTGCCTTATTACACATGTATATATTCATGAGTAAAAATTATAGTTAATCGTAATGTATATATGTATATAATAATCTCATAGGATAATATCATTATATTATATATTATAATCAGTACGGGGTGAATCGGTTGTAGCCACTTCGGTACATTGGCTGAAATCAAATATAAAAACAAAACATTGTATTACACAATAATATTATAATATAAATATAGAAGCGTTAAAAATCGTAAGTTCAACGATTTGAGACAATCCATTCACCAGAATAATCTAGGGAGAAATTTAAAAAAAGAACTAATAGAATTTATTGATTTCTTAATTTGTTAAATATTTTTTTTTTTATCGATAAAATGATACTTATCAAGATTATTTTGGTGAAAAAAATATGTTTCCAAGACCATTGAGGCCTGGGAACTGAGTACTACATGGTATAAGTATAATGGATATATTATAAGGAATGATACAATTTTTTTTTGTAACTGTCATCGGAGCAAATCACAGGGGTGCAGAGGGTGCGCTTAGTACCCTGAATTTTTTATTTTTATACTAGCACCCCAAATTTCATGATTATCCTACATAATTATTTTAAATGTTATACAAGTACCTACCATAGGCACAAATCACGTGGGGGGGGGGCTTAGCCTCCCCCGAATATCCTATTAGCCCATCTAAAAATATAGTTTTTTAGTTTTGTGAGATCGAAGCCTCCTCGCTCATATTGATGTTAAAAATGTTGGCACCCCCTGAAGTTCTAATGGATTTGAGCGCCTATGGAACGTACCATTATCATGAGAAAAGATTGGCCTGTCAGACTTCTCAACTATCCACACAGAAATAAGAGATAGGGAGAGGTAATACTTAATGATTAAACTATTTCAAATGAATATTATAAAAAAAACAAGTGTACATGGTAATTACATTTCTAGTATAGTTACAGGAGAACACACATTTAACAAAATCGTTTGTTAAATAAAATATTTTTGAGAACGAAACCAAATCAGAACCAAATGATTAAATTCTATCTACAGAAATTGTCAACAATTCAAATTTTATTTGTTGTCCAAGAGACCTCTAACATGGATGTTTCGCTACAACATCAAACAAATTCTCTATAAATTGCAGTATAAAACCTGAAAAATTCGAAATATAAAATGCATACAAATCTATAGATTATTGATTTAAATCTATTATTTAGTAAGAGATCAATAAATCACGGCTTTGTTTCCTCTGCATTTTTTTGGGTGCTTAGAACCTCCTAATAATTTTGAGTGATTTACGCTAATCCACTAATATTTCTTGATAAAATAGCTAGTTTAAAATCTCGATGTCCACTTATGCCGAGTGATGGGTAATACTGTGATCGGGTCCATAGGCAAATTGACTAAATTTTTTGGGGGAATCAAGTTCCCCTCCTCTTGAGCCATAATATAAGTACTAGTTACTAGATTTTTAACTGGGGGGACTTGACCGAAATTTGAAGGGACTAAGTCCCCAAAAGCCCCTACCTATTTGCGCCAATGATCGGGTCGATTCAAATTTATGGTATTTTTAAAAACATATTACATTGGGAGGATAGGGGTAGTGGTAGCAAACCGAAATGCTCGCATTTGACCTCGTCAAGCTACAGACAACTAAAAATAGACGAACAATCAATCGTTTTAATTAAACACAAGAAACTTTTTTTAATATTACGTAATAATGTCCTCGTTTTTCGCCATCCGTTGTTAGTAACTATATCGGTCGGACACAGAAATGAATCATTTCGCGAAGCACTTAATGGTCCATCAAATGACAGTGATAAAATTAAATTCAACAAACCGTACAGAACGATACTCAATAACATGATATAAAACCAATTAATTTTAATGAAAACATGTTTCACGCGTCCTTAGCTGTGCGATTATATAAATTAAATAACCGTCATTAAATATATCGTCGACACATATTATAGTATACCATTTATTATATTATTAAACTTGATCGTATTTTATGACGTGTACATGATGCACATATCGCAGCAGTTTTTAATTGTTATATGGTGTAGTCCGCCCCCCCCCACCCCCACTAGGACTCATACACCGCTCAGATCTTAAAGGCCAATGGTGTGAAGTATCCCCTGAAATGTATCAAGAAGCTAGACAGGACGAATTCGCATTTTATATAATACATAGGTAAATAAAAATAAATAATAGTTGTCATTTATTATTTTATCGGTATACACTAAACCTATTACAATTACTAAGAATGCACGTTTACGAACTTTACATTTTACACACAGAAAAGTATAATTGCTTTATTAGATATCTATTTTTATTTTGGAACATGTATGGTCGTTTCTGGCACAATCAAATTCAATGACAACCCATCAAATATATAATAATAAAATAATTATATAAATATGTATTTGTATTCTTATATAACTTATGTTTTTAATACTCTTTTTTATGTTTAACATAAAGTTATTTACTTTAGAAAAGTAGATCAGTCGAAAAGGGATTGGTACGATTTTGGTTTGAAAGGGTTTCGGCTTATATCATAGGATGTAATGTAACGTAAACAGCAAAGTTCGTTTTCTCGAAATATTATTTTGCTCAAAAATTAAATGATGAATACATTTTTTTTTTAATTCGGAGAAAATATTTAAAATTATTCAGAGAACGTCTGATTATAGTGTAAGAAATCCCTACTGTTTTGGACAAATAAGTTATCTTTAGTGACAAGAACAATTTGTTTTTTTTTTTTTTTTTTAAGCTTCGACAACTGAGGCCATTAGCTGTTGTGGTACTGTAGGGGGGAACACGTGTGTGTTTTTGTTTGGCAGAATTTCTATTGGGCACCCGTAGGTTTCTGCCATGCCCGGTTGGGAGATGGCGGCACTTGTTCTCCGGTCACCACGACTTGTCCGGAGAAAAATGCCGCCCGGTGGCCGAGAATCGAACCGCGAACGGCTGCGTCGCAGCGGACGCGTCAGACCACTCGGTCACCTCGTCCCCCATTTGTTTTTTATGTGCCTATATTTGGTTAATTCTTGTAAGTAAAATAATGAATAACAATAATAAAATGTTTTAACTTCTGAAAACGTCATGTACACGATTTTCTTTTATAGGATTATGAATCGTTTCTTAAACGGAAAATATTTGAAATACACAGATAGTATTATAATAATATTATTATTACACACAGTTACTATAGTATATTATATTATGGCTATGACGCGGAAGTTTCGAATGCCGAAAAACCGGTCGAGTGGTGAACAATTTGGGAACGAACGCCAAGCAAAAATTTCACGTTAATAATTTATTAACGTAATACTATATTGCAATATATATATCCATGTATGTTCATAAAATAATAATATACTGACCCCGTATCCAGTGACTGGACCGATACCGTGACTAGCTAAGTATGATTCTGCGGTGTATTCACGCCCAGTATATCTAAAAACGCATTCGTTAAAAACAAAATAATACAAAATTAGTTATTGATTAACACGCAAGCAATAAGTATAGGTGTATGGTTTATATAGTCAAATGTAGGTTTATGACTTTTAAACAATACGTAATGGGTTGGTACCTACTATTTTTAATTAAACAATCCTAACCTAACAATAATAATCAAAATTATAAAATCAAAAACAAAAGAAATAATTAATATTTTCTTGGAAGTGACTTCCCACCCTTAAATTATAATTGTAATAAACGAAAATATGATATCAGTTGAAAAAATAATCAACCAATTGGAATAAAACAAAACAAACAAATAATATGTATAACTGCAAACCAAAAACTCACACAACACGTAAAAATGAGGAAGTTACATTGAACGAAAGGACTACACAAAACATAAATAAAAATATTGTATCTAAAAACGAACAAATAAAATATATAAATTATACAAGCTATACAAAGCCAAAATACAGAACGAATGAACACAAATTAAAAAGCTTTTAGGTTTTACACTACGGTACAAGAAAATTATGTACTTGCATGCAAATTTATTTTACTCATCACTAACTAAATAAATATACAATTTCATCGTCGTGATCAGTTAAACGTTTCTATATACATTTATACTATATAATGTATGGATCATTACATTTATTTATATATAATGCATGTAAGACATATTTCGTTATCATTCGAAAACATACATACATGCATTGTATACAACGTTATTAGTAACTTCTTACTTATTGGCTATTCCCCATTAAAAATAATGATATGAGAACATAATTGTAGAGCACTAAGTACTATAATATTTCATACGAATAAAAATTAATAATTACTATTACGTACACACATTGTCGCAATATTACTAAATTATCGTAAAATATTCTGTTTATTTTGGGATATGAGAGCATAATTTTTTAACAACATTTATTAAAAATTGTATTTTTCTATTGAGCGATGATGGTTTTATATATTTTCGCACTCTAGAGTTGAATAAATAATGTAATTCGCGTTTAAGACGAAAGCAGCTCAAATTTGAAATTAATTATAAACGCGTACAGTTACTACTAAACAGCGAAATCATTCGGGAAGAACAAAGACGTGCGAGCACGCTATCGATGATAAGTCAGTATATACATTTTTGATTAAAAAATAATATATACCTCACAGCTTATCCAACGCTAAAAACATTGATAAATTAAAAAAAATATTTTTTTTTAATAAAAATTAGTATAGCCATAAATGAATTAACTTATATAACGGTTTTTAATTGTTTAACTTTATGGTGGTTTCAGGCAGGTTTTAATGGAACTTGTCCGCGCGGAAATGGAAATGGCGACGAATGAAGAACGGATGTCAATGCCGACCACTATCGTCGAATGCAGTGTTATACGGGTAAATCGAATCAAAAACCTATAATATTGTAGCACATGTAATATGTTAAAAAAGGAGACGTGTGAATTACGGGTTTATTGTCGCCAGTCGGGTGTATACATCGACATAAAGTGTCAAATGAAAGTTTCCTATATATTATACATTTATGATATATGATGCATCCGTTGTCAAATTCACGTATGTTCTATTGTTATGCGTGAGCGACGAATATCTGTTGATACAATTTTTCACTATAATATAATAATCCGATAGCAAATACGATAACAGATACTCTCCACCGTTGAAAATAATATGACGAAGTAGTATTTTGACGGAATATGCCCGCGATCTAACGGATATAATATATTAACAATGTAATATAGACGACGTCGAAATACCGACACGATCGCAACAACAACAGTTTGTCCAGCAGTGTATAGTATATAATATATATGCTCATACAATTTTTTATGTTCTCAAATTACCAGCAGCGTGTTGCATTCGGTTTCAGCGAGAGTGGTCGAAAATACGATCGCGAAATAAATCCGACAGATAGCTTTTTTTATCCCCCCCCAACGACATCAAAAAATTACAAAAACCCGAAATTAAAAAGAAACGCGATCCGCATAAAACGTGTGCCTGTCTAAATGAATTAAACTCGACTGAGCGCAGTTACAAAAAAAAAAAATAGGGAGTACGGAAAATTGTTGGACACTGTGTGTGCTGCGATAGCCCACATTTAGGGTAGATAGCGATTTAACGTTATGTATTTTCATAAGCAGAGTGAATTTTTAAAGTATTTTAATTATTTTTAAAATATTCTATAATATGTCTGGATATTCGATACTTTATTCGTTTATAGACTGAAAATAGCCGTTTTTTTTTTTTGGACATGGTGTCAAAAGAATGTATGTATTTTTTGATGTCAACACAAAATGACAACAAAAGATAAATATATTATACTAAAATGTAATAGGTTTCATAATTTATTTGTCAACACCGAGCATTTGGATAGGTATATACTAATATAATATTTAACAATATATTAAACGGGAAAAAATGTCAGGGAGCAATAGCTGTCCCTCCTTCCTAAAATATGCCCCTGGCAGACGGTCAACAATAATTTATGTTTCCAACTATTCGATACGATGTACAACATACAGAGGCGTGTTCAGGAATGTGCCTGGAGGGAGAACATATTTTTTAAACAGATCTTAAGTTTGAAAGTAGGTAATTGTACATATATAAATTATGTAATATAGTACAAATACTATATGCTATATGTCATGTATACTATGTACATATTTATATTAAATAAATATTATATCATAGAAGTTCAATGATGTCTAGGATAAATCATAGATGATCGGTGTAAACAGAATAAAAAACTAATTTCAAATTGTATATATAAAATCTAATCACATACAGCTAAAATCATAGTGTTATTCAAATATTCAACGATGGGGGGGGGGGGAGTCCAACTCCAATCTTCATGAACTACTCCTGCTTGAGTATCCTCATGAAGACATAATAATTTCAAAAACCTTATTTTCCTAAATATAAATTATAATTATTATATAACATAAAATTTATGAGCTACCGATTAAATGATCATGACGACGGTCGTGCAATGTGTGTTTGGTGAAATAATAATAATAATAATATCATCGTATTATGTAGTTAAAACTTATAAGGGGCACATAATTTTATCATCATTGTCATCATGATGTAGTTAATTATCAGTTTATCACTCTCACCCAGCTGGCAACGCCGTGTACGTAGCAGCGGCGGCGGCCGCCGGGTTGGCCATCTGATTGTTGGCGGCTGCAGCCGCCGCGTTGTACGCTCTGGCCGCTGCGGCCGTGTACGTGGCGGCGGCAACGTAGGACGCTTGTTGCGCTTGGGCCACCGCTGCGGCGGACGACAACGCTGGAGTCCCTTGGGCTGCGGCTGCGGCCTTAAGTAGAGGCGACGCGGCTGCTGCTGCGGCAGCTACCTGTTTTTGGAACGATTAGTAAAACAAAAATTCGTTACATATACAAAAAAAATGCAGGCACATTATCACACGTGGACGCGTTATACCGGAATCAATCAAGCATTATATTATTATTATTATTATATTATTCTTGTTGTTGTATATATATATATATAGTATAGTATACAAATATTTAATTTACTTATTTAAGTGAAAAACAAATATACAACGATTACATATACATAATAATATATAATATATATATATAACGTTAAGTAATATTATTGCTTTTATGACGTTAAGTTGCGCTTTTCCATTATTATTTATTACTTATACAGGATAAGTTTCACCCCTAAACCACAGATACCAGCGTCAAAAAAAGAAAAATACAAATTAAATAAATTCCGCCTATAAGTATATATATATATAATATTTAATATTTATCAACACAAAATTGGACAAGAATTGAATATAGGTAATATGCATGTCATAATAATTTTGAAAATACATACATTTTTAAAACAAAACAATATTAATTCAATAATATAAATTTACCGCGATGCAATAACAGTTACATACACTATAGGCAAGTTAATAAATTAGTGAGAATATGTATTAAAAAGTAGAAAATCACGAGGTGTAAGCCACACTGTATAATAATATATCAGTGTATATAGTATAACAATAATAATATATAATAATAGAGCGGTGGAAATGTATACATTTATAACTTGCCCAGTACAGTGTAGTCGAATTTATTATAATAACCTCTAAATACTTGTGATATTAGAGATGTAAGATAATAATGTACGGTTTCGGTTAATCAAGACGAAAAAAAAAATCAAAAATAAATAAAATGAATGTCCACAATCGGGCACCTCATCTACATTTAAATGTATATTATGTATGCGAAATGCCTCAATATATAGAAATTGACGAAGTCCGTGCGTTAAAACAATACATATACCATATTTCATTAATGACTATGAATTATGTTATAATTCCTACGGTTAGAGTAAACGGAACAAAATGGAAGAAAACAGAAAAAAAATAGAAACAATAATAATAAATTCGTACAGATATATTCATAGATTTATAATATTATGAATAAAAATTATTTGAAAACCGTCTAAAATATATATATATAATATGTGGATACACACAAAAAAAATTTAAAAAAAACCACTATGAACCATTTCACATGCAACAGTTAGCTGTACGTCAGCTAATATGTGGCATATCACCCTAAAATGTTCCGTTTAATAATATTATGATAGATAGCAGTACATTTCTAGCAACACAAATAAATGATAAGACACATAATTATACATATATATATATATATACAAATATATATATAAATATAAGTATATTTTCAACAAAGGCTAGTATAGTATATTAAGATGTATTATTATATATTATTATAATGCCCAAATTTGAAAGTTTTATTTTCTCAGTGAAACGCTACAAGCATAGCTTTTCGTCTACATATTTCCCCAACAAAACAGCCAATACACAATATATATATATATGTAAGGAGAAAGAAATAACAGGCAACCCAAAAAAAAATAAAAAATAAAAAATAAAAATACAATATACATATACACATAATAATAATAATATTAAGTGTACGTATATATTTGATGTAGGTACATATTTAGGTTATAAAAAACGACTAATACTCAACAAATTTGTTTTCCTTGTATACAAATATAGATACGATAAAAAAATTTGTTAAACATACTATATAATTCAACCTGTATAATAGTTAGCAAGTGAGTTTGTGCTCGTATATATATATTTTTTTTGTCACATGCAATTTTTTTTATTATTATTTTTTACTTTTTTTTAATAATAGGCCATTTCAATGTATAAAAAATGTCACAAACGATTCCGCCACCGAAAAATAAATAAATAAACACTAAATATGTTGCACAGTCTTATACCAATCAAAGTCTAACATAGAAATTAAATACTCAACTGATGCCATTTACCACTTCGGGGTAGCGACACATTTCCACATTAATCGTGTTGTTTGAATTATTTATGAATATCATTTTTCACCCTTTCACTCTATAGACTAACAATATATTAGTGTAAACATTTAAAGGTGTACTACACATATACATCATATTACGTCGTATTTAAACATAACTAAGTAAATGTATTGGTAAACGGGAGTGTATATTATAATAGTGCTTGCTATTATGGTTGTTCACATAATATTATATTATGTACTTCAATAAATTGCCGAAATAAGACAAAATGATCAAAACCATAAAATACCCATCGCTATATAGTATATATAACCTATAAATATAACACGTATGTACTATGTGTGTGTGTGTGTGTGTGTGTCATAAATGTTCATAAATGCTATTGATTCTAAAATCAGGCAACAAATGCCTAATGATCTAAAAAAATAAAAATAAAAATCACAGGAATCAAAGACTGTGCAAAAATTCAAATATATGTAACGTAGTGTTAATAATAAATAATGATTAGCGCTCTATATATGTAACCGATTAGTACAAACTTTCAGGAAAATTCCGAATAACAGAATTTGGTGTTAATAAAATTAATACAATATAGGTATGTACAAATATTACTTTGTAACCGCATAATATAATAAAATATAAAATATTGATCAAGACACTGATTTCTCAGTGCATCTACATTATAGAAGCGGTGATGTCAAGAAAAAAAGGCCGGCCATGCCATTCGTCATGTTTTTTTTCGTATATAAAACTCACGTCATATTTCCCTTTTCCAGCCTTTGTAATCCGTTACACATAAGATTTTTTCTAAAACGAATTTCAAGAATGACGATTGGAATGAATTGAGCAAATTGTTCATGTTCAAATATAGAATAGGAACGCAAATTGTTTTTTTTTAATATTGTAATTTAATGCAATTAAAAATAAAAAGAGAGATGAAGAATAAGAACATTGTATAGGATAGGAATAGTTTGTGATTATACTATATGAATCGTCATTTACCTCATTGACTGCTCCTGCCTGAAAAAAAATACCAACACCAGTTCAACTAATTCTCAATTCATTTATTGGGTCACCTTTTCATAATCAATCAATATAATACGCTTTAAAACACAGTTTTGACACTTAACACGTTATTATTTGTGAGTTCTTAACCAATCACACTAGAATATAAATCGAATTAAAACAAATAAAAATAATTGTTTTACGAAGTGGAGCGAGAAACCCGGCAAGCTTAAATAAAACATTGTATAACCACCCATTTTTTTCGACTCGTAACTCGTAAGTATAAATTATAATGTATTATATACATTTAACATGGCAGGTACTTATAGTGTTTTTTGTAAAATATTTAAAAATTCATTAATGATCAATATAAAATATAGAAAAAATAAATAATACAAAAATATTACCTGTAACCTGTAGTTATTGTCTGCAGCTTGGGCTGCCAGGAATGGATCATAGTATACTCCACTGAAACACATTTTACTGGTGGTAAGAATGAAAAGCCGTAAACATTGTTTACAGTTTTTCTCGATATTTTTCAATTTTAATATGTATACTAATAAGTAATTTATAAATTATAATAACATAATTCAAATAAATATCAATATTTATAAATTGTTCATTTTCGTATTTTGTACATTTGATTATAATTTTTTATAACGTTATTGTATTTGATTTTAAGCATTTCAATATGACTAAATGGTTAAAAAAAATATTTGAAAACTTATAGATAAGTGTATTACATTACAACGTAATAAATTTATATTTTTATCACTTTTGAAAACTTTAAATTATTTTCACTAAGTCATAATAAATATATAAGTCTGATTTGTTTTAAATATTATGATTATTATACTTTATTATGTTATTATAATGATTCCTAATCTCATCATGACGATGTTTTTCCTATGTTTTGTTGTTATTATGTATATTGTCTTAGTTATTCTATTTACTGTTCATGTTAAATAAGTATAGATTGTAAATTTTACTTCCAATAAAAAAATTATAACTATAGTTCTCACTTTGATATTCAAGTATAAGATAATTATAATAATACATTTTTAGAAATGTATTTATTTACAACAAAAAAAAGTCAACAAAGAATTTATAATTTAAAATTATTTAGATTAAATAAGAAAATTTAGTTAATGTAAAATGAGTAAGTAATTTTACTCTCCCTGTTCATAACTTTGTCAAATAATAATGCATTTTTAATACGTTTATTCGTTATTTAATTTATGGATACATACATTTTCAGGATATATATATATTTTTTTTAATAATGAATTAAAACTATGTTCGTCACAAATGGGTTCATATAGTTGCTGGACATAATATAATATTTACTATTTAGACTTATTATATTAATATAATTCTACATAATTGTGTATAATACTATATTAATATATCAAAAAATTAATTTAAGCATTATATTATATTTAAAAAGGTCGATATTAAACCGGTTTCACAGTATAGGACGAGAATTTAAAATTTAAGAATTTTTTTTTATGTTCATGTGTGTGCAACGTTATTTGAAACCAAAATGACTACAAGTATAGTGTATACTGAGTATAAACATATTATTATAATCCTATGCCTAACTGGTTATCTGAAATATCTGTGTATTTTCATAACTTGCAAAACCAGTTATTTCGAATGCAATTCAACTACGATGATCGTTGAAAAAGACCTAATCGATGGTATTGTAATACAAAATGAAATTGAATTAGGTTATTCAAAATTTATTGCATTCGGATAATCGGATAGTTCACAGAAATAGTAAATATAAATAAAAAATTCTTAATGCTATCAATATTTTAAGATTAAAACCACTATGTCTCAAATCAATATACAACGAATCATATTAGTTAAGACTCAGGGAATAATCAAATTTGGCATGTATTTTTCTGCATGTGACTATGTGAGCACACTTTTTGATTAATATTCAATAAAAAATGAAATGATTATGTATTTATGTTAATATATTACATACTAGCAGGTAACAAAATATCCTTAACCGAAAAAGGAAATGTAAAACAGACAAATTCGTTTAATATCGCACAAATATAATAAATAATTATTATTGTTCGGAGATAACTCTATATTACTAGTGTATTAAGTGTAGAAAACGTACTAAAATGGAATTCAACACTATAACGCGTAATAAATAAAATTATTTCTAGCATGGAAATACGCAGATGATGGTTCGTTTTTATCATTCACAATGATTATAATGAGGTATAACGAAACGCATTGTAATGATGCAATAGACGGCGGAGATTAATCGACAGATTATACTTATGTCTTATAGTAGGCATGCCATAATAAGATCTAAACATAATTTAATAAATACGATAAGCATATTTTATGTTAGTTTTTAAATTCTTACACAAAGACTTGAAAAAAGGAATCACTCAACACCACACTTTCGTCCAAGAAATGCTCCCATGATAAGTTACGGTGTCATTTTCATTCGAGACAACTGGGAAGATTCTCAAGCATAGTTTGTACAGCTAACAAACGGCTTTTGATAATTTAGGAGTGAGGGGTGGTAGCAACGATTATAGACGAAAGGCTTTATCTTCTACCGTTACCGTTTGCATGGATTGAATCGTTTGAGGTGGGAATGAATAATATGGATTGTGACATAATATAAGGTTAACTTAAGGTTAAACTAAGTGAAATGATAAAATATGAAATTAAAATCCCAGAAAATCGGCGGGAGCATGTTGAACAGTATTTATCTAGAAGATGGGCGGATATAAATTATACACAGGGTCCAAGACAATTAAAATATCTATAGTACAAAGGTGGACGATTGTAACTGCAAGAGACGAAGTCACATTTTAATTACTCAGTAATTATCGTAATAAAATATTTTGTATTTTTTTCAAAGTCACTGATAATTATACACAATAATTTAATATTAATGTTTTTTATTATTTTGTAACCAATTTTTAAAAATGAAAATTTCATGTTCAAATTAGTAAGGTAACTTGTTCATTGTATTTTTTATTTTTCCAGCTCTAAAACTATTAAATTATTCAATCAAATAACGTTGAACTAAAAAAGTGAACCACCGATGAGAAACAGGAGGGGGAGGTGCATTAAACGTATAAGGGTTTTAAGACGTGCGATGTGTAGGTTTGAATTATTTGAACACTTGGAGTATAAATTTCGCTTAAAAGACTGTAAGTTAGGGCCACCGCGGTCCGGTTATTTTAATCCATCTGCAGTTAACGCGTTATAGTAATATAAAAAAGTTCGGGCTGCTACAAAGTTGACGATCCAAAGGTTTTTAAATCGCCGGAAATTAACGTATTATTAAAAGAAATGTAATAAACGTAGGAATGTTTTTGTACTCACGGGGCGTAAGTACCGGGAGCTGAGTTGATGGCTTGCAACGGGTTGGGCGTGACGGCAATGCTGGTCGCCGGCAGTCTGGCGGTGTTGAATCCTGGATTGCCAACCGACGGGAACCCGCCGTTGGAAGCGGCGGCCACTGCAGCCATCGCGGCCGCGTTCCTGACGGCGTTCGCGGCCGCTACGGCTCGTCCACGTTGTATAGCTGCCCCTCTAAGTGCTGCTGCGGCGGCTGATGAAATAGAAAAAAATACCGCGTGTGCGCGATGACGTTATAATTAGAATAATGGTTTTTTACAGTTTTCCGAATGTTTCCCTGTTCCCGCGCCCAATTAAAAGCGTTCTTACATTATTATGATATAGGTAAGGGCAATTTATCGAGCAAGCTCACCACGTTTACGACACGATCTTATCTTAAACTACTATAAATTCGTCACATAAATTTGTCTAAATATTGTCTCAAAACAATTTATCTAGGTATTTAAATTTACAATTTTTTTTGTAACACGTGATTTTACTTTTAGATTACCTTCTAAAAAATCTTAAAATACTATTCTGCGTAAAAACGTCTTATCTTATCTATGTAGTGGGGGTCTGCGAGAACAAATATTGCACAGACATCCTCTAATGACCAGGGCTCATAACTTCTAACACTTGAATTTTTTTGTTTCTTTTTTGATAGAGATCTAGGTCTAGAGATGCTTGTGTAAACTCTATACATTTCTTTTAGAAAACCAAGTAGCTAAATACAAAGTTGTATGTTGCTTTTTTTGTGTCCATTTCAGAACCATATAGCCTTCAAAACTTTTGAGTACCATGAAACAATATAAATCTGATGTAATATTATACGATTTTTTTTACTTATTTAATATTTTATTTTGTATATTTAAGCACTCGCATATGTATGTTTTTAAGAGCATATATTATTGAGCTTATAACAAACTTTTTCAGAGCGATGAGTTATGAGCCCCACTGATGACCCCGAATATTCGAAAATTTAGATTGTTCAGTCTCTCCTACGTAGTGATACGAACTTTTCCCCCTAAAAACAAGTACTTCTTTTTTTATACAAATTTCTGACCATATATATTTTTTTGAGAGTATAGATAATAATGTTATCAAACTTAAAACAAATTTTTCAGACTGATACTTATGTATGTTCTTACATACTATTACGAAAAATCCTCCTGTCACATTTAACTTCATTAGTTAAAAGTTAAATTGAATCATCTATTACGAAATGTAATGGTAAGAACATTAGCTGTGTTCCTATGTCAGATTTTTACGATAGTTAAGTTTTTAAGCAAAGCTACTAACATTTTTAGATTATACGCACGCAATACTTGCAAAAAAATCGAACTACCGTAAAAACCGGTATACGAACACAGGTTATGTTCTTATCATTAAGTTTCACTGTAATTTTTAAACTAACGAAACTAAACGATAACTGCTGATGGTGATTTTGGCATGAATACATCACTTATAAGACGGAGAAAACCAATGCGTGGTTTTGGAGTCTTCTAAGCTAATCTATAGAATAAATATGATTTTGTACCGCCATAACTATAATAGAATTCTAAGTATTTATTAAATACTGCCTTTAAATTAGGTGTATGTACTTAAAAATTCTGAAAATCAAAATAAATACAAAATTTAAACATTAAAACGAGGTGAGATGCTCAAAAAATTGCCTTGTACCTATATATTGTTATTATTTATTATTATTTTTTATTCATATAGAATATGTTTACATGCTAAAATAAATTTGTACATAATATTATATTTGTATAGAATATAATGCTACTTCAAACTCGATTTTAAACACGCTTCTTGCAATATTAATAATAATTTCTTCAGCTAAATTTTGTCGACGTATTTAATAATTGAGTAGTGAGTATAGATAATGCAATGAGATTTTAACGTTAAAATAGAGAAAATTTACTTCAGTTTTTCCCGCGGTGTACATATATATGTATATTATACTGTACACGTTAATAAAAAATCGTATATCATGCTGTTTAATCTAAAACTCTAAATTAGCAATTTCATTTTTAGGAGACTCTAAATGTACAATCAGTAATAAACACTATTTATCTAAATGTTAGTTAGATCATGCACATATAACTACGTTTAATTTTTACATTGCACTGGCAGTTTACTTACCCTCAGGCCACTGAACACAAACTGCAAACCACAATAAGAACAAACCAAATGTTAGCCAATACATAATTAATTTACCATACATACAATATTATACATAAAATGTAGTGCAACTACTTAAAGCGTAATTTTAAAAAAGTATACAAAAGCATGTGTTCAAAAAGTTCCCAAACAACCAATTGTAATTTGTGAAACTACTATAGGTATATTTAATACCTGCTTATAAGATGTTCGTATTTATGGTTTAGTGACCTTTTAGTTAATTGTGTAATTAAATATAGGTAAAAGCAGCGGCGCACCTGTGGAAAGCCAAAGTATAGCATTTGCCACCTCGCCCCCCGAGAAGGTTTGTTTAGCATAATTCACATTTATTTTGGATTTTTAATGATTTTAAAATGAGATATTTAATAATTTGGCACCCTCTCCCGAAAATGTTTCATAGGTACGCCACTGATTATACAAGTTAAAAGAAGCACAATTAATTTGACCTAACATAAAATAAAACCGAGAAGTGTCAAAAATAATAAAATGGTCGTATAAAATATCATGCTCCTTATACAATGCAAATCAATGCCTAAGTAAAACAATATTTAAGCATGAAATACGTTAAAATAGGGTCTATGTTTTGGAAACATGCACTAATTTTCGCAAACAGTTTCTCACCAAGGTTCGGCAATACTCCGTTTCTAGAGAGTAATACTATTGAAATCAACCAAAACACATAACAAAATGTAAATACCATATTGATAAACTATATATGAATCATATACCTTGGAAGTTATAAATCCCAAGATCACACTATTATCTACCTTATAGAGACAAACTAAACACGGTACATATACTTAAAGAAAAACACCTACATAATATTATCTAAAGCCATTATACGTGGTTTGAATTCTCAACTCGAGACACGATCCAATAATATTTTATGTATTTGTAATTAGAATTTCAACATATGTTTATTATTTCTATTAGCATTGAAAAAATTATCAAATATATTATTGCCAAATGCCCAAATGAATATGTTTATAAGCAAACAATAGTGAAGAAAGCCATTTTATAGTGAGTACTTTATGTACATAATATTGATCTATATATTATGATTTGATGTGTATAATAACCCTATATATATAACTATATATATGCTTATAATAAAAGTATATTATTTATAATATAGATACTCGCCACAACATAAATTATAAATACAAATTGAACAAAAAAAATACTAACCATTTGGTAATTGCAAAGGAGCAGCTACTTTTTTAGTCTGCACTCTAGCTGTTGCATTGTTCACCTAAAATTTTAAAAAGAAATTCAAATATTTTAAATATTTATGAAGTACCTAAATAATAAATAAAATACATACTTTAATACAGATTAATAACTTAAATTTATAATAATATTACAATACGACAAATTTAACTTAAAACTATATTACATACACGTTATACGACAATGAAATTGAAATTTAGTAAATTACAACAAAAAAATGTTTAATAAAAGCAGATTATATTTTCAAAATTTCAATTTCATTATTAACAAATTTGTCGGACATCATATATATTTATACATAATTAACGCCGAAAACGTTATTTTCGTATAGTACATATTATATAGTATATGAAATCGTGACTAGTCTACAGCATACTTACTCGTCGTCAACGACATAATAAAATCGGTATATTCGTCCCAGGGTAGTGGAGCATCTGGATAAATTCACCCGATCAGCAAAGAAATGTCAAATAATCTGACACTTTGAAACACAGAAAAGAAACGCTTGACACGAGACCTCTAAACCACGCTTGTAACCTACAATCAATACTAGCCTTCGGAAACACGTAATAGTCAGAATATGTTGTAGAATGTGAAAGTGTATAAATAAAAGTATAGGGATTTTATTATTTTTATTTGTTGTTTTTCGACATTACGTCTTAAGTAGGAACGATGAAGTGTTTGTAATCAAGGAACTAGACACATTGAAAGAGGAGTAAGACAAGAGAAAATTTATTTTACAGCCAGGCCCATATAGTCGTGACTGAAGCATCATGCAAATTATCATTCAATTACAATCGAGCATCTTGATACATGGAAGGATTTACAACAATATTTTATCATTGCAAAATTCAAGAATAACAATATGCAACATATTTTCCTTTCAAATTAACTACGCTAAAAAAAGTAAAATTACCTAAAACAAAAATATGATCGAATAATGCTGGTGGTAATATAACAAATCACTATAATAAAAGTATCCATACTTCAGAGTCGAACATTCACAAACTGAGTGCCAACAAAATAAACTGTGAGACCTTTCAAAGAAAATAATTCAGAAGTTTGAAGCTTCAGAATAATCTACCTAACAAATAACAAATAACAAATATTCGTTCACACACATCTCAGTCCCAAAACAAATAAAACATTTTCTTTTCATTTTTCGCATGCACATTTTCATTAAAATTTCTACAGATATTTCAGGTTAATAAAAATAATAGTAGTAATGAACATCCTAGTAAAATATGAATAGTAAGAATTACTTAAATTTGACATAACTTTGCTGAAAAAATTTTCATTTGGACGAATTTAACATTTAATGACAACTTTTTTGCATTGGATTATGTAAATGAAATACATGGTGGTCATAGAATTTAAATACGCATCGTATATTTTTTAACCTATTGTATAAATCCTTCCTAACTATCACCATCTAACCAACAATAGCAATTTAACTGTGGCCAAGATTAGGTCAAACATTACAATATAGTTTGGACAGTAGAAGACACGCGACAGTAATTTCTATGCTGATTTTTGTCAATAAATTAGTGGTTACTTAATTTTAGCATCAGTATTCAATATAAAATTATTAGCCAAATGTTAAACAATATACAAGTGATACATACAGTGTATGTAGTAATAGGCATGTTTCAAAGCTATAAACCTAATTAGTAAAATGATAAATACATAGTAAATATAAAAAAGATCATGATCTGCATACAAGTTACATGAATATTAATGAAGTATTTTGAAAATAAAATATTAACAATAAAATATTTTTCATTTAAAAAATTAAGTTTAAAATAGTACCTATTATATGATTTATTATAAAAATAAAAATATTCGTATAAAATATTAGGTACAAAGATTATTTCCTAACTTATGTAAATTGATTAAAATGGCATAGCCAACATGAATGAAACTAGATCATTTTTTCATTAAATAAAAAATGCCATTAATCCCAGAATTCCATCATTCATGTACCATCAGTCGTTATAGGAAATAAGAAGACAAAATGTCTTTAAGACCATGTATAGTTAGGTATCAAACTGATGGATATTTTTTAAATTATACAAATATTTTTTATGATTCAGGAAAGTATTGAAAACATCAAGCGCTAAAAAAATAATAATAATAATAGATAATAATAGTAATAATGATAATAGTAATAATAATAATAGATAATAATAATAATAATGATTTAGATTTTTACAATGGTTTAAAAACAATTAAGTTTCTACGTCGTGATTAGTCTTACTATGTAATAAGTGTAAACATATAAATTATAAGTAAAAATATAAGTATATATATATATATATATAAATAGCATAAATATTTGCATGCAAACCTCTATTTTTCTGCCTTCAACAACTGTTCCGTGAAGATGTTCGCGAGCCTCATCAGCGTCAGCGCTATTCCCAAACGTTACAAAACCGAATCCCTGCATGCAACACACACAACAAAACACATGCAAATAAACAAACTCAACAGAAAATAAATTGTTTTATTATTATTACTAAGTATTAAATTGAATTTTATATATTTTTAAAATGTTTTTAATCTTATTCTTGTAGAATTGAAATAAAAATTATTTAGTTAAATTTGTTTGGGGAAAGCGAACATTGACGTTCACAGTTAACACTATACAATAATAAAAAAATAAAATAGTACAGTAAATGCTAAGTTAGTCCAGCATTCATTATGTATAGCGTTTCACAAGAAAGTGGAACTTTTAAGCGGTATACATTTTTATTAGCGTTATTGTGCTATTAATTACGTGTCAATGATAAACTAGTGTTAAGTAAAAACATAAAATATTGCGCTACTTATAGCGTTGTGTGAATGCTCCCAAAAATTGTCCGTTTTGGATATGGAAAAATATGTAAAGAGAAGGATTTATTATTCAAATCTCATGGTATAATAATAATTTTCAATAGACATTTTTAGTTAACTTATACATATTATTAAAAAATATAATTTGGGTGATAAATTGTATAGAATATAAATACAAATACAAACATATTTAAGTTCATATTATCAACCGAAAATATTTAAATATTAATTTAAAAATTAAAACCTAAAGAAAATAACACTTTTAGAATATTATAATAATTTAACATTTATTTATAAACCCTCTAAGACAAAGTGGTATAGTAATTAATTAGTAATTGTTATATTTTTCTTATTTTAAAAGGGCTTATATTTAAAAAAAAATAACAAACTATACCTCAATTTATTTTTAAATATTTTTCAATTAATTTAATAGATTTATTATTAATTAGGTCAATGTATAATTTAAAGTTACTTAGCTGCCAACAAAGCGTGAATGGTTTATTTTATTTAATCAAGATATACATTTTATAATAATTATAATATTTTATTGACTCCAATTAACCATAATTACCTTTGATCCACGCTCATTAAATATAATTTCAACATCTAGAATTGGTCCAAATTGCTGAAAACATAAATAACATAATATTAAAACTAGGTAAACTGCAACAATAATTTTACATTGAAATTATTTAAAATGTATAAATTAAATAATTATAATAGATAAAAATGTTAATATACAACAGTTATTAATTGGGTTGGAATCTAGAAGCATTTTTATTTTTAACATTAACTTTTAAAAGCTTATGCATGATGGATATTTTTGCAATACATGAAATATGAATTTTTATGGTTAAGTTTTAGCAGTAATAGTATATTTATTTTATCCAATATTATATGTACTTAAGTAAATTCATTCATTTCAGGTAGACAGAATTGTTATGCTTTTATTTTTGAAATCTATGATATTATGCAGCTGAACTATACCTAAATATTTATGATCACTAATTGGTAATTGTTATAAATTTTAACTTATCCCAATTCAGTTTTTGAACTTTTGGACTAGTGTTGTCGGCCCAGGGCAACATCATATTTACTTGCAACTGTTCTTTATTTAATTAAATCTTCTTAAAATATATTATTCTTAGTTTTGACATCTTATAAAAATTATACACATACACTATTTTGACTTACATTTGTGGATTGAGATTTGATAAGCAATTAGAGAAATACCTGTGTATTGGTTGTTATTTATTGCAACATAAGAGTAAAAATGTTTTTTTTTTTTTATTGAACATTTTATTTGAGTAACAAGTAATGTAACTTTATTACTTTATTTTAAAACAAAATTATGTTTTTTTTTTGATTTTATAAATAATTTTCTGATGCCTAAATGATTAGTTGTGTTAAGTTATGAATTTAATTTTTTTATACAGAAATCTGAAGATAATAAATTCTAGCATTCAATTATGTTAAACTGTTATGAGCTATAATAAGTATATAACATACAATTTTTTATTTTTATTTCTTTTACTTGGGATTTAATTGTGTTACATAAGACATCTTATTTCTGTATAAAAGAATATTCTTATGAAAGTTTAGAGCATAAAAACATAATTTCTTGTTGTTCTAGCATTCTTAGAGCTTTTTATAATTTTGAATTTAAGTACAACATTCTCAAACATAATTTTAGATGAGAATATTAAACATATTTTAATGAGGCTACTAATAATAATACAATTATATGAATCAAACAAAATATTAATTAATTACCCCAAACATGGCACGCAAGTCAGGCTCTCTAAATCTAAAGGGTATATTTGATACATGAAGTCTCTTTGATTGGATATTTTTGTCTTCACTAGATGAACAAGGGGACCCAGCGCCAACATTGGTAATGTTCGTTGGTGAGGCTACAGATACTGACACCGGTGTAGTCAACGCATTTGTGGCATTAGTACATTCCAACTATACATCACAAAAAAGATAAAAAGAATATATGACAAATTAACTAGCTGTTTTAGGATTATACAAAACAATATTACTAAGGCCACTACAGTGAGAGCGGAAAATGTTAGCAAATTGTCCAATTGACCGTAATATCAAACATTAATCTGAATACTAACCGGTTGTGATACCGTAGTAACTGTGATTTGTTGTTGTTCAGACTTGGTTAATCCAACAGATTGCTGCTGCTGCTGCTGCTGCTGCTGTTGTTGTTGTTGTTGTTGTTGTTGTTGTTGTTGTTGTTGTTGCTGCTGATGTTGTTGTTGTTGTTGTTGCTGCTGCTGCTGTTGCTGTTGCTGTTGCTGCTGCTGATGCTGCTGATGCTGCTGGTGTTGTTGTTGCGATGACGCCATGGACATATTAAGCCCAGTAGGGGGTGAATATGCAATAGGTGGCAGCGGTGGATCACTTTCTACAGTCACTTGAGGTGGAAGTGGAGCTGTATTTTGAGGTGTAGCCACCGTAGCCGGCATTAGAGTAGGCTGTTGGGGATTGGCCATTTTAAGCGTCATCGCAGCCATTTGTCCGGGTTGTTGCATAGGGAATGCACCAGACGCTGCCGCGAGTGATGCATAAGGATCAATTCCTCCTTGAACCATTTGCTGTAAACATAATGGTAATTCATTATTATTTTTAAGAAATCAATGATGTTGCAAATTATTTAATAATAAATATTATATAGGTAGTACTGGAATTATTAATTAAGTGTAAGCAAGTTAAAGCAAAAGTAGCTAATCGTTCAATCTTAGAGGTCAGATATTTCAGTATATCACCAATCACCATGAATGTACTATACAGATATGTGTGTTCAACGTAAGCATGGCCATGGGTATACCCATGAATACCAAAAAAATACACCATGAACAGATCAGCGGACCTGCAAGTTCATGCGTGTTCTGGGGACCCTCCTACCCGCCACCGGTCACCATAACGTAAATCCTAGTCAAAACATCGTTAATCTAGGTTGGGTTGGTGACAAACAAACAAGAGTGTTATACCTACATATAGGTACCGAATCAAAAAATAGTACATAATAATTTTATGCAACTGTAACGTGCTAGACATTTGCACATAATAATATCATATTTATTACGCGCTACAATGCAGCAAATGCTTAATATAACTTAATATAACTCCTTACCGTCGTCCATCTAACGAAAACGAGATGCTTTTTTTTAAAATGATTATAACAAAACGACTGGACGACAGCCGGGGTATGCACTATGCAACGGCATAGAGATATGACATCATCGTAATTCGTCATCATCATTATCATCACACCTGCAGTGATGTAAGTCCACAGTATTTACAGTACCTGACCTCTATAGAGCATACTATACACACTGTAATTTGGCTCGGACACAGAACCAGGTAGTTTCAGGTCACATCTCGTCCGTCCGCAAAACCGCGAGCGCCTCCGGGCGGCGTCGATCGTGTGTATCCACGAGGACAACAAGTAACTACATCTCTATAATATTATTATAGTCGATTACGGTATACCTAATACGTTTATGTAAAATAGCTAATAAGTAATAGGTACGTACTATACGTATATGAATATAAATATATACCTAATATCGTTGAGATAAGCTCGAAGGATCGTTTGCGCGATAGGTGTAAATAATTGTGACCGTTTTTTTTTTGTACGACGCGATATATTGGTAATATAATGACGTGCTGAATAATTATTAATTAAGCAGGGCGATCAGAGAATCATAATTCATAATTGTATATATTATGTTACAACAATTATTTTACTATGTAAAGATTCAAATCAGAGAAAAAAATATAGAAATTAAACACCCTTTGGGGTTAAAGGTTGGGTTGGGTCGACTGTAAAATCTTAATCAGTTTTTATCTTTATAAAAAATACGTTTTCCATAATTTGAACTTTTAACAATGTATTAGTATATATAAAAATAAACGATTTACAATTTGTAAAATTTAAAACAATAAGTAGGTACCTACCTAAAAATTTGTTATGGCAGTACAAAAACTGAGTGATGTGATGTAAGACCCTGTCACTCAAGTGACACTACTTCAGGATAGATTATATTGATATGCATAAATATTTAATTGTTGAAGACCAATTTCGTTTGTGAAAAGTGCTATTTGTACATAACTTTTTTTTAACATGACAAGTAAATGAGATCATGTTATGTATGAATATTTAACTATTTGTTCAATATTTTGTATTTACACATCAAATTTATATTTAAAATATAATGCACGCAGTGGTTACATAAAAATTGTCTGTTTCTCATTTAACTTACAAAACATTACGACAAAACCCCTTTTGAAAAAAAGAATACAGATTCGGCAGAAATACTATATTCTATGACCTGACTCCTGAGCAATAAGTTATAAATTATGGATTAAGGTTTTTCAACACACCCCCTCCCCAACGATCATACCCATACACAGTTTACCTACAACGGCGTTTTTTATATTTAATAGAAAAAAAATACTGAAAAATACATGTTTTTACTCTGTCTTATGCACGCCAATCATGTTTTTCGGCGCATCTTCGTCGCCAAGAGAGCTCTGGTGCAATAATATTTTATCCCGCGGATAGACAGAGCACGCGATACGGAATAAATAATTTTAACCACGGATCAAGCTACGGGGCCTCGAACGAATGAGTGGAACCGGAGCGTAGACGAGGTGTAGAACGAGAGGAGCGCGGGTTTCGGGCCAGCAACCAGTTTGACGAACAACGGCGGAATACTAATTATTACGGATATGTAATGATTATATACATAAAATATAATATATTTTGTTTTAGGACGAGTTCGTATATATACATACCGGTGGGCTGAACGCACGTGTGTGACACTAGACCGGTAGTAGGAACATTACATGTATACATAGGCATCAAAAGTTTCTCCAAAAAAATTGCATAACTTCGATTTTTAAACGGAGAACTGGTATGGCGATGGCCATATTCGTGCGGTGCGTGAAAGCGGTAAGATATTCGTGACCAAAACGCGCGCGCGCTCGATCGAGGCTCTTCCCGAAGACGCGCGTGTGCTGTGACGACCCGTATTTTACATATTCCGCAACAATGCCGATTGATAAACAGGAAAAAAAATTAGAAAAAGAAGAGAAAAGAAAAAAATCGTCAATTGTTTCCCTCGGACGGACGTTTAGTGTTTCGTCTGGAGTATACTCGTGGTAAACAACAAACGTGCAAGTGTGTGCGAATGCTTATGTAAACGCGCGCGTGTAGTGTAGTGTGTGTGTACCTACTTGAAGGACTTGTCTATTTATTTTTCACATTTCGTCGTGTATATCATAAAAAAATATATTTTATACAGTAGTCTAGTACACCATGCCACAGAATTATTCACGGAGGGAAAATACAAGGGGTCGGTGGGGGGAGTTTGCCGGAGGGGGGACACTCCGGTCTAATGAGGATGTACGGCGGTGCATTGTGCAGTGCACCGGGGCCATTCGGAGGACGAGTCTGCTACGGTGGGGGATGACCATTGTTGTAATACTTCACCGACGACGTTGGAAAAAAATATATAAATACACAATATTATGGGTACGGTTGAAAAAAAAACCAAATTTTATTTTATTATAAAGTAAAATGCTGCGGGCTCGTATATGAAATAATAATAATAATATTATGTATACCCCGTTGTTGTATCGCTCGACAAGTGGCTACATCCTATGAGAAAGCGAGCCACATTACGCCGACGTGGCCCGGCCCGTTTGTACGTTGGGATATTATTGAGTTAAATTGATGTTTATTGTCGTATACACGCATATAGCCGCCGCCGTCGCCGCCGCCGACAATAATAATAATATAAATGATTCGTCAGGAACGGACACGAATAAGATAATAAAAGCACGCGTAATACATCAACCCGTGTGGTGGCAGCGGCAGCTTTTGTGCGTGCGTGCGATTACAAAGCTTGGCAAACGTGTCCTGAAACGCTCGAAAGATTTTTTTTATAGCCGCACTAAATTTAGACAGAATTTATTGTCCGCGAGATTACAGAGCGAACTTCAAACGAGAGACCTGTTGAGTTGGTACATCAGGGCGCGGCTTTGTTCTCGCATCGTCCAATTCGTAGGTCGCTAATTCGTAGTGCTATTCCGCCGAAATCGAGATAGTTATTATCATATTTTTCTTGAGCATTTTACATCGACCACAGCGTTTTGTCGAATAAATCAAATGGCTTTCCCGTGACGAATCGAAAGATATTTTTCCCTCTCGACATCGTATAATCATGCCATAGAGCTTCAGGCTACAGATATCCAGGCATTCAGCAGAGCTTAGGTACTCGAATTCAGTCGTAATCGCTCATCCTCGGGAATTTCAAATAATATAATGTAATATCATGTTGTATGAAATGTACGTTTTTAATTTTAATTCTTTCTCCGCGTCACTCTGCGAGTACGAGGCAGCGATGAACAAGGCAGTTATGAAATTAATGTTCACTATTGCACCACCACTGGTTAAACGTATAATCGTAGGGCCGTCAAATTAAAAAGCTATGAAATATTGAGCAATTATATATACACGAATTCCTCTTTACACAATATAGTCGTTATACAAACAACTTTATAATTAAATAGGCATTTTTCAAGCCGAATATATTAGCCAATTTCTATACTATTGTACATAAATTATTAAAAACCCTAATGGGCTCACTCCACATACCACTCTCTCCCACTATACCAATATATTATTAACTTACATTTATACATGAACATGTCTAATATCTATACTTCAGAGTAATAATATTATTGATTCGATTTGATATAATTGATTAAAAATTAACCTAGACAAAATTAACAAATTAGGAATTGTAATACGTTCTTTCCCAATTAAATCAATCTAGTGTGCCATAATGGTACTGTCACATACATTATCCTTTATTCCTAAATAATAATTAATAAATTATTGGTATAAAATGGTAGAACGATGATCATAATACAATATTGAATATATACCATCAGTGTTACTTGTTCACACCCAAAAGCCACAAATGATAGATAGTCCAACCCATTAAAACATTACTTTCTAACATTGTTCACAAATACACAATAATAATTATATCTAATTATTAGAATAGCTATATTGTTTATCAGCCATCACTCATTTGTATCAAGCTAAGTTGACATCTTAAGATAGTATACCTATTATCTTAATACTGAAATTAAATTGTTATCAAAATTAAATTTTTTATTTAATATAAGTCATGTTAAAAACACAAATGTGAACATTAGTTATTTTTTATTATGTATAAAGCAACCAGTCAAATCTTTATTTTTTCATAAAATATTTGTTTTTAGCAAAGATATTTTGAATTAAAATAACTACCAAGTACATACCTACGTAAACTTTAAACATTTTATCATGCCTAGAGAAAATAACTGAAAAATATACTATTTTATTACAATGTTCCGTCAATGCACTGGAGTGATAAAGTCACAAGTATAACACAAATCAAGTAGGTACCTATACCTATACCTATACCTAGTGTTATATTAGGATATGATGTGATATACAAATATATATTATAATAATAAGTTTAATTTTAAAACGAATCAGTTATCTTTGGATTGACTAAATCGTTCGTCAATAATA